AATTGTTTTTGGCTATGAATTATTGATGAGCTCTAAGCAATGGAAGTCGGATATCTCAGTTTTGGTACTAAAATTGGAAATCTCCGATTCAGGTACTTTACAAAATCTGCCTTCTTAAACTAAGCTTTAATCCTTAATTCATTTCCAACTAGCTCTAAAAGTACTGGTCCTTAGGATTTTTATAATGTACAGGACTTTGGAAAAATAGTACCACTTTTCTTTTAAAAATAAAATTCATATTTGTTTTGGTACTACCTCGTCCTAAGTAGAAATTAGAACTATAGGAAATGAAAAATGATAGTCTTATTTTGGGCCTTGAGAACCCAATAGGAATAATTTCCCTTTAGTACATAGCTTTCTTTTCTTTTTGGGCCACTCTTTTGGGCTTAGCCAAACTATAACGAAACTGATTTTCTAATTGGAACAGTTTCAATTCCTTGGAAATCGGTAAAAGATTCCTTCCACTTTTCAACTTCTTGGAAGTTGAAACTCCTTTACTCTCACCGTTCCAACTACTCACTTAATGGAACCCGTGAACCTCCTCCTCCCCTATTTAAATCAAGACATTCCAATCCATTTTCATCACAAACAACTCTCTCAAAATAAAAGTCTTCAAGTTCACTGTCTGAGAAAAACACCAAGAAAATATCCTCAATGGAGAAATTTTTCTTTCTCACCCTCATAGACGGCAATGGAGAGAAGCCTAGTGAGAAGAAAAGTAATCTAAAGTTTATGGTGCAATTCTCGGCAGTAGAGAAAGTTTATGGTGTAATTCTCGTATTTTTCAGGATTATACCATACACTTTCTCTGGAACAACACTCTCTCTATTTTTCTTTTTATTTTTTGACCTCCTTCCCCTCCTCCCTTCTCTCAAGGAGTTTTTCAAAATTTTTTTTTTCTAAAATTCTTTTTTTCTTTTAAATTTTTTTTTTGTTGCCTTCATCTTTAAAAACCTTATTTTATTTTTTTTTATCTTTTTCACAATCAATTTTCTTTTCCAAATTTTTTTTTGTTTTCTTCTTTCATTTTTTTTGTTCTTGTTTTTTGCTTTTTGAGAGATATGTTGCTTCCTAGATCTTGGTTATCCACTTTGGATAATAAAGATCTATCAAACACAACGCCAACCGCTCTGCCAAGCAGAATCTGCTGAAGCTGAAAACGGTCAATGGCGGAAGATATCACAAAATCTCAAGACAAGACTTGGTTTAGGAAATTGTTGTAATTTGAATTGTATCTGTTTAAGTTGAATTGTATCTGTTTAAGAGTTTTTGTTAACAAGCTGTATATTATGAGAAACTAAAAGAAAGTTATAAAATTAGTTCTCAGTACAGCGACCGGAACTCTTAAACACTTATTCGTCATCATCAAAAAGGGGGAAATTGTTGGGAAAAATATTATAGATTTTGATGATGATGTATTTAGAATGTAATAGGGACTTTAGGTCTCCCCCAATATTCAATGTAATTTTTCTTTTTAGAAATATTGTTAAAACCGAGTTCTTGAGATTTCCAATAAAGTTGTGATATTTCTTTAAGCGTTTTGATGCCTGAAGACTTAATCAAATTCAGTAATATGGAAATTGGATATCTTGATCGGAAATGTCAGAGACAAGTAAGGATTTCTCAAGCAAATGAAAATCCTCTGATCCGGAAGGCTACATAAGAACCGGATGTCTCGCTACAACCCGCGGAAGGCTAAGTCATCCAAATCGGAAGACTAGCGCGGATCTCTTTCTCACCCGGAAGTCTGAGAATGACTCCTCCGGATTTGTCAGCTAAGAATCGGAAGACTCATTGAAGACCGGAATTCTCAGAAAGCGGACAAGTGAGAAAAGACTT